TCGCCGTTTTCGCTGTGGCTAACTCAGCATTCTCTCTCCTTGACACACTACTGCGCTTGTGCACCAGGAAAGATACTTGAAGCCAAGTATTTCTTCGCTTTCCAGCATTTGCCATGGCTCTCAAACACTTTTACGAATGTGATCGGAAATTGAATACGTGACGCATGAAAAGAAGTCGATTAACCATTCACTTGCCCTTGGCCAAAGTACAATTTCAAACACGATCATCAGTATTTGTCGCCGAGAGGCTAGAGGTCATCGCAGGATTTGAAGACGGCATTGCTATCAGATATGATGCGTGAGAAATTCGTCATGGGAACGGTTGTCGTGTGCTTGTTGCAAAATTATGCAAGAAGGGTTGCGGTGTCTCTTGACCACCTGATTGGCCGTGATAGTGCACGATCGTATCGCTTTATGGTTGCAGAAGCACTGCCATGGTATGAGCCTATCGGATTACTGCTACTCGGACACTTGATTTCTAAGGTTGAATTCCGAATTCATGAAACGGATTACTGTGCACTGATGTCTGTACTGTATAATCCGTTTTTTATGAATTCGGAGCAGAAGTTATGGTACTGTAAAAGTGTGGTAAATTACTATACTTTCATTTTTCTTGCCATCCAGATCATGTTTTCCTTAAAGGAATCTTCCACAGTGATCATTTTGTCTTGTGTGTAGGATTAGTATTATCGAAACTAACGCTTATGTTCCGTTCTTTTTGCTATGCTCATGAGGCTAGGGGCCTAAGGTATCGTTTTTCTGTGGTAATGGAGGCGGAGCTTTTTCCGCGGAAGATTCCTTTAACAGCGTACTCAAAAGTCTTTGATGAAACACTCTCTCGGCGGTAACTTCTGCTCGATCACATTCATTTCGAATTTTAACAAATTTTAAAGGCAAGCCTATTCAGCCTCTACGATAAGGTCGGGATCGATAAATGGGAAAAAATGTAGTCGAAGCGGCCCCTACGGGTGCGGACAGATGTGCAGCGTTTATCAGCCAAGGGTGTGCCTCCAGTGGCCTAGCAGGGCCGAGCCGGCGCCGCTTCTACCTTTGCCCGCCCACCGACTGGTTAAAGGCAAACCCCGGGATTACCCCGACTTGTAGGAAGGATACCGCAAGGGAAATTGTAAGGTCGTACCTACCTAGATCACTCCAGCTTCGTCGCAAAAATTGCGCGGTTAGGGCGCTAATCCTTACGGGCCTGCAACCATCGACCCCCGTTGCAACGCTTCCCACCCACCTCGGATGCTCTCTCGAACGGCGTGATCTCTCGCGTGTTTTGTCTTCTTTGACCGCCCTGTCTCGCCATCGTACCACATCCGACCTTATTGAAGGTTAAGGCCTTAAGTTCAGCGTTTGTAGCTCTCTCTTATCATTGGTTTCCTTTCCGCTTTTATTTCGTTTCGCAGCACAGTCACCTCTGCAAAGGTCCTTATCACCAGTTTTATCCCGGGTAAACCCTCCCCGTCGGACTCTAGTCACAGGCTCTAGCAGAAAAGCAGAGCAGGGCGATCGTGCTGATTACGCCAGCACCAATAGGACTTGCTCCAAGGCGGAAATTAACGGGTCAAAAGCAATCCCATTTCTCGGGTT